TAGATACCTACTCTTTCATACGTTCGAAGAATAAAATAAGAAAAGAAGAAATTATATATTTTCATCGGATGTTCATCTTTTACAGATTCACGGGAATATTGTTTGAACTATCGTCCAGCAGAAATATAACTATTTAGAAGGCCACTAAAAGGTGAATATTTCATGGATACACTATATTTCGAAGAATACTCCCGTTTGTCGTATCAGTGCGAAAAACTTTCTTTTTTATACGATAATTAGCGATATTTACAGCTATATACCTCACAAACTAAAGGGGATCCTTTTCTAAAAAATACATCAGTATCGTGTACAACTCGTGTACTTTAAACTAGTAGAACAAATGGGAATGCAACTTGTCTAATTAATGCAATTTGAATTCACGAAGTTGCCAGAATACGAAATAAGTTTAGAGTGAGTACTCTCTTCCTTGAATCTGTAAAAGATGAACATCTGATGAAAATATATAATTTGTTCTTTTCTTCATTTCTTGCTTTATATCTCACTCTATAGTGTGCATAGAAAGAAAGAAAACATCAAGTCAAGTATAGTGCAGAAAAGAATATATACATACATGTTCATTCTATTATACGATAGTTCCATATTCTTTTTTTCAGGCATATTGAATAATTCTGTTCTCAATTTTTTCTCCAATCCAGTTATCGGTGAATTTATTCACCGGTGGATAAATTCACCGATGCGACTTTTGACGGCTTCCCGTTTGTTTCAAGAAGATACTGACTGTGGATAAAAGCAACCTTTTAACCATTTTTACTTCTGTTTTACATACATTGTCTCTGACTACCATGGCCCGAAGAGAAAGCCGGAAAGTCATGGTATTTCAGAAAGCTCTCTGAAAACTCATTTGGCTGTTATATTGGAGTAGATACCTACTCTTTCATACGTTCAGCTGTGATATTGGCAGCCTTATAACTCAAAAACTAAACGGTACCTTTTTCTAAAAAATAGCATGTTATAGAGTACAAGTTGTGTACTACAAACTGGCAGAAAAACTGGAGAAGGGTAATATTCTAGCAATCTGTCTGAAAATCTCAATAATTATAAGTTTATTGTTTGTTCTACAAATAACCATTGTCCAAAGACCAAAATAGAAATCAGATTTTTTCGGACTGATTTTCTGAGACCCTCCTAAAAACGTAAGTATAACTAAGAATATGTTTGACTGTTTCAGAGTTCTCCCTTATGGCACGACTGTAGTACTAGTTCGTAACAAGCTATCTTCACCACTTGTGTTATTGCGACAGCATGGGCAATTGTAATAACGACCACGATGATGGTACTGATTGTGATTTTCTTTTCAATCGAAATTGTTTCCTTAGTTATCATATCATTTTGACAATAGCAACGTACGATCTTTATCCATCGTGTCACTTGGTAATTGTACTTGTTTGGCATCATTGATTTCTTCTTCTTCTTCATCTTGTGCTAATGTTGTTGGTAATTGTGTACCACTAATTAATATATATTATATTCACTATTTGATGTTTTTCGAAATCTTTTTATGAAATCGCCCCTGAGAAGGCTTATAAAAGACAAATAGGAATTAGTGTAAACGCAGACGTTCGAATGCCCGGTTAGACGGTTCTGTGGAACACATAGTTGAACTCCCTTCGGTTCCTTGAGCTGGTCCGTTTCTTAAATCTCGTTCCGGATGGTCACGGAACTAGTTTGATATCAATTTGAACTCCCGTTCAATAGGTTTTTGGAAAGCCGTTCTATAACCAGTTCGTTCTCTGAGATTGAAAGCTGTTACGAGAATGTCTCAATCTAAGCCAGAATCCGAAATGACATTTTCTTTTGTAGCGTTTTTCCTGTGTTGTTTGTTGTTCTTTTTTATTACTTAGTAATATGGGCATAAACTGTTTATGTTTGTAATTCTCTTTGTTGGTTTTTAAATGAAAACTATGATCTTTATCAAATAAATCAACCTGTCAGCAATACATCTATTAGAAGAAATGCTGAAAAGAGGAGCATGAGGTGATCCAAATGAAGCGATTTGCTAAATTAATATAAGAGTCAAATAGTTTACTTAAACTACTTAAAAATTACTTCTGTAACCGAAAGCGATACAGATTCTGAAAGTAGACACCTCAGGCTATCTTTCCATGTGCTTATCTCAAAATCGATCTTTTTTATTCGAGAATCATCATTTCTGAGGAGACGGTACCTTCTGCCTCTTATTGGCTTTGGTTAAATGATATGGCCTCTGTTCTTAACTGAAGTAAAGTTCGGTTTGTAAATGTATTTCACATTGAAGAAATAAATAAACAAAAATGACATATAGCGTATTTTTCATTAACTCTGACTCTTATTTCATCTTTGTCTTTCTTTGCAGGGAAATAAAAGGTTTCCGAAGAGTGCAGAAAAACTTCGCTAACTTTTTGCAAACTTTTTATTTCGCTGGAAAATACAGACAAAAATGAAAAATCGGGCTCTGTTATGCCTTAGAACTACGTCTTAGCTACATTTTAAGATCAATCCGACATTTTTAGCTGTTAAAATGAAGGAGAAATCTAGGAATTACAAAACAAACTACTTTCCGATCACTGTTTACGGATCATTCAGCTCTAGCTTAAGCTTTCAAATCTAATCTAGTCTAGGTCCAACTAATATTCTATGAAAATTCGGTCACGATCCTATGTTTTATGTCAAAAATAGATCTCTGTCGGGGGCGGGGAGCTTAAGCTACCAGAAAAGCTCTAGCTCAATGAATGACATTCACACCTAGCTAATTTACGTTCTTATCCGT